AATATTGTTCTAAAAACTTGTGTCCATTATGCTTTATTTTAATGACTATCATTATTATGCTGTACATTTGTTTATATTAAGGCACAAACAGTTTTTCCTATATCACTAAAACAAATATTTGTGAGCCACGAGAATCCAGCGACACCCTGATTTTTTATATTGCGTTGAAACGTCACATCGAAGTGGATCTATATTGATATAGAAATGTTGTGAAAAGTATCTCGTATCATATCGTATCGTTCAAAAAGCATAAGTTTTAATAATGAAACTGATAGCTTAAGAAACCGATCAACAGTCGGCAAGAAAATATTTTAAGATAAATCGTCAATTTATAATTTTATAAGTCTATTCTGCTATATAGATTTAAGCACTTAACATTATAAGTACTTACATATAATGTTAAGTACTTAAATCTGCATCTAGATTAAAAATATCCGTTACAATCTTATCATATTGCTTTTGAGAATCTTAAGAGGATCTGAACCTTTCGCCGTATGTAATTTATAATAATTAAAATGTCAAATCTCTATATGTCATCATTGGAGAGACTGTCAAATAAAATATGACTAATGTGTAAGTAGATTACCATCAGAAACAGTCGTCGTAATTTGTTATTCATTCGCCTTAGCAAATAGATTGAATGACGAAACACAAATGTCATCTATTTCTATTTGGGATATGCACTCTTCGGTAGTAATACTGCAGGTAGTATTTCTAAATATGTATTACATATTTAAAAGTATTAAGCGCGAGAACTATTTTAAGGAAAAAATTGAGCAACAATTATCAGTGTAATAATAGTTCCCAATGATAATTGATTAGTTGTGTAATATAATTAAGTATCGATATAGTTCTTAGTACGAATACATTTTCTTGATCTTACAATTATTTACTTTACTCTCATGACGTCATATTAGATATATGTAGTACAACTAGCTGTATTCGTGGTTTCATCCGCATGAAATTATATCTATATACCTATGTGTTATCCTGATGTATAAGCTGTGTTACTTTAAAGATTCATCAAAATTCGTTCAGTACTTTCTGCGTGAATGAGTAACAAACATCCATCCATCCATCTGTCCATACTCACAAACTTTCAAGTAGTATTAGTAAGATTCTGAGCATTTAAATTAACATATGCTTCAACTTTAGTGGATTAAATTCCCTTGTTTCTAGATTAAATGTGCCTAAAACACGGAAGTGCATACTTTAGTTTAAAGACATCATGAAAATATATATATTACATAGTTTATTGATGGGTAGCATAGTATACAATCACAATCAAGAGCACACATATACAATAATAGTCCTTGTCATACTAACAATTATGTACAAATATTAAACGGCGTATGCGCCAGACAAGGCACATTTGTAATATGAAATAGGAAAAGATTTCCTAATGAATTAAATTTGTTACTGCTCCAAGGCGGCAAAGATCAAAGGATATATAATTACAAGGGACGTTGAGCGCTAGAGCGTACTTTACAAATGTAACTTGTAAAAGAACGATTATTTTTTTAGGAAAAATATAATAATTTGTTCTGATTTAATTATTTATAAACTTGATAAAATACGAGTATCATAGAATAAAATGATCGAATATGAATTAATGATTGTTGTGAAAATAAAAGAACAAATTTCGTAATGGCGAAATTTTATAGGTTGATTTTTCTAAACGATACTTTATTAAATTGTATTGTAATTCAAATCCATATTAATAATAATTAAAATACCACATGTTTCAAAAGTTAAAAAATACTGTAAAATGATAACGTCAAGTCATGTCATCTATTCATAGAATAATTCTGATTTAATACTTACTTAATCCCGTCGAACCTTACCCTATTAAAATGATAAATAAAATCAGTGCCGTTATTGTACCTACACAGAATTTTGAAAATATTAATTAGCACATAGTATGAATTAATTTTATACTAATACAATGTAAAATATAAAATATAATGTACTAAGAAGAATAATCTCTGTAACTATAGCGTAATATTTAATTTTGTTTGCATCTATAATTGAATTACAATATCTTAAACAAAACAATCTATTCAATCCAAATACCACAAGAAGGATAGATATAATAACAGGACTAAGTACTAACAATAATTTCACTTAAATTGCATGTTAACGAGCCAACAAGTTATTCAAGTTAATTAAAGCCACCTATAAAGTATCGATAGTTATTGAAAGTGACAACGTCCATGTCGATAAAGGCAGACAGCAGAAATTAAGCTACAATGTAGGCTAGCTTGAAATTCGTTACGAGGATACGGCTCACATTTCATTCAATTTGCTAAACGAGTGTTTATTAAGGCTCGTTCACGTGAGGATAAGTGATTGTTGGGGAGAGCCGGCATTATCGAATGAGCCAAATAAGTATGTATATGTATATGATGATAAAATTTAGAGCCAAAATAATCAAATTTAGACAAAACAATCGGTCATTTTAAATGAGAGTAAAATTTTATTTAATGATTTTTAAGTGTTTAGATGGACCTGCATATGCTTTGACAAGTAGGTACAGTAGAAGAGACGTGACGAGATGATTAACGTAATTTATGCTATGAAGTGTAATAAATTAAATCCTAGTTTTAAAGAGCAAACATTGTCATAGATCTCTATGCTACAACAAAATGCAATTACTTTAAAAAATTTACAATTACAATTAGTAGAATTAGTTCAGTTTGAATATTATACAATTTAACATAATATTTATAATTATACACAGCATCAACTTGCTAAAAATGAAATGGCATAGTATTATTTGATATAACACAATTATTTATTAAAACTAGGTGTATAAGAAATAATTCACTAACCATAAACTATAGTGCAGCCATTTACATCACTGTCAATTAAAGCCCTGGGTTAAGACATAACGTCGTTATAAATAAATATAGCGAAGTTGTTATAAAATTTAATATTAAATGAATGTAACATTTCCATTAGGTACCTGTGTTTGCGGCGGCGCAGCTCGTAAACAATTAGTTTTACGGCCGGTTATTAACTATTTTAATTTAGCACCTGGTCGACCAAACCTAGGTTACGTTTTATTCTTTAAATATATAATAATTCAGAATGAAAAGGAAGTAAATTAAAATTAAGTATACGCTTGTAGTGGAGATCTGTCAATTTATATCCTGAAAATCTGTTGAGTCAATCAATCCAAACGGGGATCAAAATTACGACGGCCTGAGCCGAGGTTCGAACTCCTAGCGGTGCCCTCAGACTGAAGTCGTATCCTTCAGGCGGGAGTTGGCCTTCAGCCGCTCCATAAGTCCTTCCGCGTGTTTGGAATGCCATCTGCACTCGCCCGGTGAAGTATCTAACTATCGTCCGGTGAAGCTGTAAAGACCATCTGCAGCTAACAGCATCAGAGTAGTCCAAAATAAAATAAAGTGGCAAACAAGTAATATTTTTTAATTTTTTTTAGTAAACAAAATAAATATGAACGCCTATTGATATAAGGTGAAGTTTATAAATGTAATAATTCCATTGAGTGTCAAAACACATTTTTGTCAATGTGAATGTTCCTTAACTCGTATAATTAAATCGCACAAAGTTACAACACAAATTTCTGTAGGTGCTGACTCACCTCAAGTATGTATATTTGATTAGAAAATGTCATAATTTTTGATTTATGTACAATGTAATGTTTGTGTCTATTTATTTCATTAATATTTAACATTGCGTCAGGTATGACTGATATTAAATGAAATGGGATTTATTTAATTATGAAAGCGAATAATTGTTATGGCAATTGAGAATGTAGACAATTATGTGGCAAATAAAATGGCTTCATAAATAATTACAATAACCTGTGATGAAGAGAAGGATAAGAATGAAGAAAATGTTACAAAAATGTACATATTTGTAAATATTAACTATCAATATCACGTATATTTCTTTATGTAAGTACAACCTTATAAAATGTCATAAACGTTACTAAGAAAAAGAAATGACAGACTTATTTATGACAATCGTATATAATCGTAATATGCATACATTAGTACTTAAATGATATACTTTACTATATGTTTCACATGGTTTTGCCCACGTTAACACTCTTTTTCACGTATTTAATTTCGGGACGGGAAATTGTGTCGTAACTACCTTAGTATAAATTTTATTGCTATCACACAATATACTTACTTAATCTACCTCTAAAGGGAATCTATATTTCAAATTTAAATCAATTACTGAAAACTATGATGATTTTTTATTTGACTCATACAAACAAAATAGTTTAAGATACATACAAGTGTACACAGAATTGTACTAGAATGGTGTGAGAACATAATTCATCATAACCATTTCACTAAATACCTCGACATCACAAACAATGCCCTATAAATATGTCCACGGCATGCAAATGTCATCGCGTATGTTACGTATAGTGCGGACTAAGTAATCTGTCCATTATTTATCACCATACCCGACTAGGTTTCGCAAGGGACATTTAAATCTAGAAATTATACACGGTGGTACGTGGGTGCACTGTGTGCAATGCATTGTACGAATAAACATTTGTGTTCCGAATTTCAGGTGTGAATATGAGAAAATATCGTTTACGTGAAATCCATAAATTTTGTCGTAATGATTTTTTGTCCCCTCCACTGTCCTTGTGGCAGCTGGTCACATTTATAACGCTCACCCTCCCTTCGTATATTTTGCAATTTTACACCGATATTTATTATGAAACGAGTGTATACTCGCCAATAAACCAATTTAAAACTTATGTTATTAATATTTTAAGATTTATATTAAATGTTAATATTCTTAATTTCTTAAAAATATATAATACCTACTATTTTAAACTTTGAAATGTCACAAATTTAGCCTTAATTGAACCTCTTCCATCCCCTCCATCCCATCTACACCCGGAATTGGAGATCAAAACGAAAAATAACAAAATATCGTAGTATAAGTGTCATGTGTAGGCCTTATATTTATTATTTTCATTAAATGAAATATATTTAATGACTCACCTGTTGATTTTAATATCGGACCGATACATCGTGCCCAACGATGCTTACACCTCATCCTTTGAGAAGCGCTGACTTTGTTTTAATGATAAGTACCTGAAAAAAAAAATACTGTGAGTATACATAGATTCTATAAAAGTTACAAGGAAAATGGTTAGTTACTTTGTCCGGGCATTTCCGCCCTTAACGTCGTGATTCGGCCATTGTGAATGATCGGAAAGGAAATAATCCGAAAACCAAAATACTATTGGTGAAATTGAAGAATTTTGTGACCTGTGTAATAATATGAAATATAAAAATAATTCTTGAATCAAGTTATTATACGTTTATCTAATACATTTATTTTTGAAAAGTTAATTTACAATTAACTTTTCGTAGAATTTTTTTTCTACAGGAAATTAACATGTCAATTATACAAGACTAATTTACAAAGAGAATAATCGCATTCCTTTGATTGTACCGCGAATGCTGTACAAAGTCGTCTGCATGCCTTAGTCTCACTTAAATACCAGAGTCTGTTATAAATCTACCAGTTTTTTTAAATGTCACTACTCACTTGCTTTGCAAAAAAGTTGGCCTTTATAGCTTCACCGAACAATGTTTTTGTGCAAATGGCAATACATAGCACTGACAATATTATGAAGATAATGAGGCTGAAGGCGAACTCGCGTTGATGGATACGACTTTAGTTCACTGGTACTGCTTATATAAAAAAACCTTTACAAAGAGCCACACAAGCAATTTCGATCCCTGTTTGAATTGGATGGGGGATCATATGGAGGGTAGTTATCACCAAACAGCTTGCATTGTAATATGTATGTAATATGTATGAATATTAATACTTCGGAAGGGCAACACATGGATTGTATCACAGACATCACATGATGACGTAATATTAATGGTGTTGTTCATGATGATCATAGGTGACAGTTACTCCTCACTATTGGGATTACCGCCCGGTCGTTTGTCATTTCAATTACATAAAAACATTTATAACGTTGATCAAGACAATTCAAATATATTAATTGGTCACAAATTTAGCCTTAAAACTAGAAAAACGAAAAATACCAACTAGGGTTCATGATTTCTCGAGCTTATTTAATTTCTTGGAAATATATTTAATGACTCACCTGTTGATTTTAATTTCTCGGATCTTCTCGTGTTGTCGAGAAATTTACATTTACGTACGTTTGGTTTATTTTTTGTTCCAATAATGTCAAAAAACTCAGCGGTTTCATTTGAGACGAAAACCACTGCATTTTTTGTTAAATATTAAATATAAAATTTAACTATAAAATTAATTATAAAACTTTTATTGAATAGGTATATTTAAAAACATTATACATATTATGAAGAAGAATTTTTTTTAAATACTGAAATATATTAGGTTCTTAAATATGAAATTAGCGTTTTGTCAAATACATTTATTTTGATCTTAAAATTATATCCTCTTTTTTAGAAATTTCACATTTCAATTATACAAGACTATTCACTCATGCATTTGTTTTGAAAACCGTAATACATGTCTACATACCTTTTTTCTTTGGGTCACTCAGCTTACAAAATGGAAAACTTAAAATATCGCGTCAATATACATGAAAGAAAACCTTAATATCTTGTATTATTGTACCGCTACGCATACAACAAACGTCAATTTAATTTCTATATAGGTACAGTTGATTTCTCGAGTTCTCGACTTTTCTCGAGCTTGATTTCAAACAGAAAAAGTTGGTTAAGACAATTCAAAATTCCCGGGAATGAACCCTAGATACCAACATACTCTACTCGTAGGTACCTTCATAATTTGATGATCTGATGTACGGTTAAAGTTTATCGTTACAAAAATTCAATTAGCTACAATTAGTGAATACGAAATTTCACAGCATCCCGATTTGTGTACAGTTTCAATTAGCACATAGCTCTGGAAATGGAACAACGTTTCTCATTAGGAGAGCAGTGAGGCAAGAGGTACCTAGATGTGAGATAACGCATTACGCATGCGCGCGCCATTGTCTTCGCGCCAGATGCCTAGATAATGGAGCGAAAGCCCGAACAATATGCAAAGCTTTCAGATGTTACGACGCCTTATGAGTCATTTGTACATTATTGTACTACAGGTTTGCTAAAGTCAAGAATGAAATCTGTAATTACCGCGGTGTTTATTAGTTTACGAAATGAAGTGTTTGAAATGTTTAATATGAATACTTTGATACTGACTGAAGTACCAGCTAAACTGCATACTTGGACGAATATTTAACATAATAATAATAAGTTATTACAAGTAATATGTAATACAACAATATTTTTCTAAAAAATGTGTTCGATATGTTATAATTTTGAATATGAATAATTGTTCAAAATTCGATTGTTATCAATAGTCCCAATGGGACTGTTGATAACAATTTGAAAATGAAAGAAATTTTCTGCAAAAAAATCTATTTTTCCGGATTTTCAGTAGTAATCTAATTTAGATGTGAATGAACTCATTTAATAATAAAATCGATATTAGACATAAATCATTTACTTAGTAGAGCGAATGAGTTTATGGAAATTACTCAGTCCTTAGTCCTCCCTAATTGAGTATAATAATAGACAAGTTCAATAAAAATATATCATTATCCTAATCCTTTCTATTAATATTACAATAAACTGTGTAATCATTTATTTTATAAATGAAGTAACGTTATAAGAATAACAAATAAATTTCTTCATCTGGCTGATTATTATATTGTGGTACTTTATTTGACGTTTAAGAAAGAAGGAGATAAATTTATTTATATTTTAATAAATATAAATTAATAACACATAGGTACACGTCATGTTATAGATGTAACGAAAAGGTATATATTTAAAAATAAACTTGTATTTTATTATAAGAAAAATCAAATATATGCAATAACAATTCCTTTGTATACACATAATATCTATAATCTAACCCCAATACATACAATTTAACAGTATTATAGTATATCAAAATAAACTACATTAATAAAACATAAGTCAGCGATGTGTGCACCAGATATACTAATTTACATACTTCTTATCACTTGTCCTTTATTTATTATAATACTAGTAGCTGTAACTTACTTATTTTTGAAGCTATATAAAGATATCAAGATTATATTTTATGGGAATAGACTTAAGCCCATCTCTGTAAGTTGTTTTGACGTCATGTAGTTGACGAATGTGTGTAAATTGTATTTTATGGCATTTGTGGCATTATTTTTACCTACCATTTGTTATAGATATATTGTGTTTTTTATTAATTTTAAGATATATAAATGCACGTTTAAAATAATATTAGTCCACATTAGAATCTTATTAAAATTACTCACACAAATATTTTATTTCTTAAATATGGAGAGTAAACCGTACCGTTTACAAAAATAATATTTGAAGTACATTCACTTTTAACAAAGACAATATTACCTTCTAATTTACGCAGAAAACTCTTTTGGTAGTAGGTTGATACAGAGCAAATACTGACCAGTTGTTAAATAGACTGTAGACTGGGTTTAGCATTGAATAGGAACTCAAACGCGGTGTTATAATTATAGTAATTATTATGCTTTGTAAGCTTTCTACCCGCAGTCCAATGGAGCAACAATAGAACCTTTATTGTTCGGTTGCGTAAGAGAATGTCTAGATTTTGCTTATTCTATACAATAGTGTTAATCTGAAATAAGCGAGCACGTGCCTAGTAGGTGTGTTGGTACTTTTATTTTATCGCTATATAAAGAGACTGGTTAAACGGGTTTCATACCGCAAGTTAAATGTAAACAGCGTAAAACCTCAGTGGTTTGAGGTATTTAACTTGCTATTCAGGAGTTAAAGGGATTAATTTCGATTTTTGTATGTATTGAAAAATTTTATAATATCATTTAGTTTTGAAACTCAACCTATTTATTAAATCTTGTTGGATTGTATATATCTAAAAAATCATAGGCTATTCATCGTTATATAGTAATTAGAATTGTGTATTTTAAAGCGACAGAGTCCACAATTTTATATTTTGAAGACTCTGTCATCTTATAAAGCAAGAAGAAAATGTATCATACGTGATTTTTATTACCATATTAAAACTAAAATTGATAAATAATTGTACATGTGATATAGAACAGAACAAGCCGAAAAATTCAAAGATTTAGTCACCCGTGCGAAGCCGGGACGGGTCGCTAGTATAAAGGTATAATAAGTACACAACTACGAGTAAATGCCTTTTCTAAAAGAAAAGAATACAGTTAATATTTTCGCAGTCCTGCCGTAATTGGAAAAGTTTTTACCCATAACTGGGTTTCTATTAGCGTTAATTACACACACATAACTGAATAGACGTAATAACCATTATGAATTAGATAAGTTGAGCAAATTCACATAAAATCATGATATATTAATTATTTTATATATTCATCAACTTTAATTTCAACACCGATAAGATGATCTCATTAATATTAGAAACGCGAAAGTTTGTGAGTTTGGATGGATGTTTGTCATTCTTTCACGCAAAAACTACTGAACGGATTTTGATGAAATTTTACAGTAATATAGTTTATAGGCAGAATAACATATAGGCTATAAATTTCATGCAGGTGAAACCGCGGGCACATCTAGTATTACATAATTTAACTAAGTCTCACCAAGTAATATTGTTAGTCAACCTTTTTTTATGGAAAAATACAATTAAAAATTCGTATGTGTGGGAACTCAGTCTAACCTATTTCAACCACCAAACAGCGTGCTGTGTTTCGGTTGTAGGGTGCAGATTAGCCAGTGAAACTACAAAATAAGAGATATGAAATCTTAGGCCTTTGGAATGGCAACTTTGAGTGGTCTCCCGGGTGTCAAAAGATACCTGTAGTGTATATAGCAGACGCTTGACGCTTACCATATGGGCCAGCAGATTATTTGCTGGGGATAATTTGTGGAAGATGATAGAATGAGAATGAAGTCAGGTAGGCGAATTCAACAGGAAGTGAGGACAATGGTTTCTAGAAGAATCTAATATAGTACATTTCTAGCAATGTCATCACTTGTCTATATTACTAATAATCCTCAATGTTTGTTTGTCAACGTTATCTTTGTGAAATTTAACTTCG